CAGTGCCATGATGTCCTTGACCAAAAAGTTCTACTTTTGTCTCATGTATCCACAGAATGTTCCTCCAGAAATACTGTGGTTTTGTCACATTAGTTTTGGCATACTCCAGTCTTGCTTTTTTATGCCTTTGTGTCAGCAGTGGTGTCCTCCTGGGTCTCCTACCATAGCGTCCCTTTTCATTCAGATGGCAATGGATAGAGCAAGCTGACACTGTCATACCCTTGAATTTGTTGGGAAGTTAATCTGGGTTCTGTATCCACCATTTGAACAACCCTTCATTGTAATTTTTCAGTAATTTTGCTCTTCCGTCCATGTCCAGGGAGGTTAGCTACAGTGCCATGGGCCGTAAACCTCTTGATGATACATACTGCACACAGTGGACACAGGAACATTAAGATCTCTGGAGATGGACTTGTAGCCTTGAGATTGTCGATGATTTTCCACAATTCTTTCTCTCAAATCCACAAACAACTCTTTACACTTCATTCTTTTCTCCATGCTCAGTGTCACACACAACACAAAGGCTGAGTCTCCTTTTCTCCATCTTAACTGGTTGCAAATGTGATCAATATACTGCCCACACCTCTTGCTTGAGACAGGTGTGTCTAAATACAAATTAAAGGAGCGTCACATGCTTGAAAAACAATTATTTCGTACAATTTAGAAAAGGTGCCACTAATTTCGGCCAGTGCATTTTGGGGTTTCTGCATGGGATTGTATCAAAGTTGGTGTGTGTGTGTGTGTGTGTGTGTGTGTGTGTGTGTGTGTGTGTGTGTGTGTGTGTGTGTGTGTGTGTATATACTGCCCACACCTCTTGCTTGCGACAGGTGTGTCTAAATACAAATTAAAGGAGCATCACAATTATTTCATACAATTTAGAAAAGGTGCCACTAATTTTGGCCAGTGCATTTTTGGGTTTCTGCATGGGATTGTTCCAATGCAAACCAAAGAAATGAACATGTGAGTACCAAAACATTTGCAACTGCAACAATTTTCTGAGAGAAGGGTTGCATTTTCTGGCAGAATTGCAAGGGTGCCAATATTTTTGGCCATGACTGTATATGGTATTGCTGTCGTTGTTCTCATTGTTCTTGTTTCTATTGCTCCTCTTACCACTACCACCACCACCACTACTACTGAGTCCCTACTAGCTGGGCTGTGTTCTGTCCTCTTTTCATTTTTCTTTTGATTGATACTCCCCATTTTCTTTTCTAACTGACACACCTATATCCAAATCTAGATCCATCTACTCCGGGGCAGGCAACCTACAGCCCTCCGTATGTTCTTGGGCTGCAACTCCCATCAGCCTGCCCGCAAAGCCAATGGAGAGCTGATGGTTCTTGCACTGCAACATCTGGATTGCTATTAAGTTGTCCACTGTTCATAGAATAATTGGGTTGGAAGGTGCCTATAAGTCCATCAAGTCCAGCCCACTGCTCAAGGCAGGAATCCGAATCAAAGCAGAGCCGACAGATGGGTGTCCAATTTTCTTTTGAATGTGTCTAATTGATTCCATTGCCATACTGCTCTAAAAGTTAAGATTGTTTTCCTAATATTCAGCCTAAAACTGGCTTCCTGTAGTTTTAATCCATTATTATGTGTCCTACACTATGGAATGATCACGCATAGATTCTTCCCCTCCTCTTTATGACTACCTTTCAAGCATTTGAAAAGCACATAGATTCTGCCCCTCCTCTTTATGACTATATTTCAAGCATTTGAAAAGTGGTCAGACAGAATCATGAAGTTGGAAGGGGCCTATGTCAAACAGAATCATGAAGTTGGAAGGGGCCTATAAGGCCATCAAGTCCAACCCCCTTTTCAATGCAGGAGATGCAGGGGGTGTTCTTGACCACCATTCACTGTTCTACTGTATGGCAGTTGGCCAATTTTCATCTGAACTAAAATAGCAGCGAATTTATTTTAAGGACAAGGCTTATGGACAGCAACACCATGCACTCAACAACCTTAGGAGACCTTGCTTTTGCTGCCAGTGTGATTCCTTTATTATGTCCAGCTCACGTCACCGGCTAGGCAGCCTATAAAATAAAAATGAACAGGAGTGGATAAGGTTTCACTCCTTTACATGGCCTGGGTTTGAAATAAGTGCACGCAATAGGAGTGCGTGTGACCTGCAAAAGAAGGAAGTAGGCAACCCTTCTGAGGTTTCTCAGAAATGATTAATATACATGGTGCGGTACCAGACTAAAAATAGGGATATGGAGCAGGGAAGGAGGTGATCCAAGGT